AGATCTACCTCCAGCGCGTTTACTGCCAGCGAATGTTTCTCCAGACGAATCTGCTGTTCCTACTGACGACGAATGTGAATTTGATCCATTACCTTCAACCAGTTCAAGGTCATCTAGATCTAAAAGACTTAATAGTTCAGTATGTATTGAGGACTTTGACAGCGACGATTCACTAAAGGATCCCGATTTTGTTCCTACAACTAAATAACCTTGTCGTGTACGATTTATTTCATCATCCAGCGATGAAGATCTACCTCTAGCGCATTTACTGCCAGCGAATGTTTCTCCAGACGAATCTGCTGTTCCTGAATGGACACCAAAAATACACAAGATGAGAATAGGTTTTCATTAGCTACCTTTGGCCCAAAAATACCTGTCAATATTGATTCTCCTTTAGAATAATTTGTCAGTTTGATTGATGAGAAACCGAGTCTAACAGGTATGCAGAACAGAAAAAAAACAAAATAAGATCTATCACTAGATGAGCTAAAAATTTTTATTGGAATTCTTGTTATCATGGGACTAAACCCAAAACCCAGTTTACGATTATATTGGTTTTCAGACATAAATTTCCACTCTCACAGAATAACTGATATAATGACATTGAAAAGATTTCTAAAAATATTACGTTATTTACATCTAAATAATAATGAAACAATGCCAGACAGAAATAGTACCGAATTTGATAAATTATACTAGGTGCGCCCGATGATTTTGTTTGTACAAAAAAATATATAGGAGCATTTAACCCCAGCAGATTCATATCAGTTGATGAGAGCATGGTGGCCTTTAGAGGTCGCACTAGTCTAAAGGATATTATGCCACAGAAATCGATAAGGCGTGGATTTAAAATATGGGCTATGGCTAATACGGGATATTTGATAAATTTTTCTGTTTGCGAAGGTAAAAAAACTAGCATAGAAGGATGCTCGATAGGAGAAAGAACGGTTTTAGAACTAACTACACCACTAGTAGGGAAAAAATATTGCATATACTTTGATAATTTCTTTTACAAGTTATCCTTTTCTAAACAAACTCCTTGATCGCAATTTGTATGCTTGTGGAACAGTTAGGACCAATCGAAAGAATTTTCCTACCACAGAACTGCGCTCAGATAAGTCCATGAAAACTGGTGAAAATAATGAATAGTTTTTTTCATGTGCCACACTTTCAGTACGACCAAACCATTTCTTCAGTAATTGCACTCATCTAGCATCGGAGTTCTATTAGAACATTTGTTTAATATGCAAGACTCTGCATCAGTTGATCTAATATATTTCTTAATTAATAAAATATTTTGCGATATATCGAAATTGCTTTATTAATAACAATATTTAAATTATTTTTCATGTAAAACGAAAACAAATTGTGTTTAGTTACGAACCACCACATTTTATCGCAGGTAATCAGAGAACAGAATTTCTATTCAACTTTTGACATTTGAATAAAAACTAATAGATGACAGTCGACTTTCATGCCGAGGGAAGTTAGAAAAAAGCCAGATTTTCATGAAAGACGATTATCCTTGAAACCTACCAAAATACTGGACATATTTATTTATCAAAAAAAGAGAACACTCTTTACTTATAAGTCATAAAATGCAGATGTTCCGTTTAAAATAAATGAGAAGTTAGTTTGAAAATGCCAATATTGGAGTAAATATTCTAGACACCCCGTACAAAAATATGTAGTTCTAAGAGCAGTTACCAATAAAGTGGATCTTAGACAAACTTGAACTAATTTTTCATAAAAATTCGTCAATTGTCAGAAGAGATATTCAATTTTAATCGAAGGACTGATAACGGTCAGAAAATTACAATAAAATCATAACATGGCAACGTTGAAACATGGAGCAAAAAAAATTTAGGGCTAAAGTCAATCACTTAGGACACTTCTGTTGTGCTGAAAAATACAGGGTATTCCTTAAAAAAAAACTGCCATTTAAACGTCACAGATTTTTAACACTGTAATTTGCAAGTTAATAAAAACTGAACTTGCTTGATGGATATAGCATCAAAAAAGTTTATGAGGCATTTTCAACGAAATCACATAACAATCAGGGAAGTAGAAAACATATTTAAACACCTAAAAAATAGTACCGACAGAAAAAGTGCGTTGGTTCTATTTAGAAATGAAACCAATTTTAAATTATATTTGGAAGGAAATGTAAAACCTAATCGACGAAATTTTGACAACATATTAACACTGAATATTACCCTTGTGCATACTGCAAAGAGCTTCTTAAAAAAATTTTAAAACGTCATATTAAAGTAAGCATTGCTGGTACCAGAAATAAAAATGAAACAAAGCAATTGAGGTTAAATCATATCTCTCGTTCACATACTGTTATCACTTGTGCAACGGATCCGACTGATGTAATTTCCAAATTAAATATCAAGGAACAGGTGAATATGTATATGTATGTATACTTTTTATAACAACTATCTCATACGGTTTTATTTGGTTTTAGATTTAATGACGGGTGATGAAATTGCATTCCAGGCAAAAACAGATTTACTGATAGCACATTTTGGCAATTCTTATGTTAAGAAACATCAAAAGTGTACTACGCCTCCATGACAACGCCAGACCCTACACTGCGGCAATAACACAACAAACATTGGCCGATATACACTGGACTGTACTAGAACATCCACCCTACCGCCCAAACTTGTCACCATGTGACTTCCATTTGTTTGGACAGGAAGCTCTTGGAGGACAACACTTCACGGCGAACGAGGAGGTTTAACAGTTCGTGTGCAATTGGCTTGATACCCGTCAAAATGCAAAAGTTGATTTTAATACGTGCAATACCGATATAAATTAATAAAAAAATAAATTGAAACGCAATAACGACAATGTAGTTCTTTAAGCTTCTTACGACATCAAAAAGTACACACATAATTTAATAAGTGCATTACAAGGAAAACAAATATAACCGTATATCCTCAGTCGAAACGAGGTATACATATATTCATTATTCGAAACGAAGTATAGGTATAAAGAGAAAGATGGCGACACCGGCAAAATCAAACGCGTGACGAAGGTGCAGGTAAAAGAACCCATACCTAAGCTGCACAGAACCACGTTAAGAGAGACAGAGAGATAGCGGCGAGTTACACTAGAGACGCCTCTAAACTCTAAACCTTCGCCGAGTGCAGACGTGTGTCTCCGTTCAAAGTGTGAACAAATTGTTTTTCAAATTACAAAATCGTTTTTATTGAATATAAATCCAGCAGCCAATGCCATCCCAAATATGGAGGTGTACCAACTTTAAGTGAAACACACTGTATATACATACATATGTATTAAAGAAATGGCGTCATACAGCATCTTGGACGATAATCAGGCCTATTCCGTAACTTTTAACAAATCGAATAGAAATGCACAGATTGAATCGTAATATTTACAAATCGGAATGTTCAATATCTACCGCGTTGATCCCTGGCACAAATTGGTATTCTGTAACTCATGTAAAAGTGCCAACAAATCGTAAAGGAGAACATCTATCTGACGCGCCTACAGTACAACGGCAACGTATTTATCATGCGAATTTGACCTTTAACGACCAACTGACGTTTAGTGAACCTAACCTGATCAAATAATAGTAAAAGTAAATGGGTCGTTTATGGCTTTTACTAATTCAAATACGTGATGATGACTGAAATATTTACATGCAGCGGTGACAATTGTTGTCTAGATGTAGATTTTAGAAAAACCCAAATAAGGTAATTTATAAAATTTTATTTCTATTACAAGTAGTTTTGTGGAGAAATTTAGTTTGTTATATTCTTTCAAGAGGAACAGAACTATCTGAAGACATGTCTTGTGCTACACCTTCTAAGAAAAAAACATCACCCGAGCAGCTCATTTATATGGTAGATTTTATTTCGGAGAATAAAATATTACTTCATGGTAAGACAAAGCCCTCAGAAGCCAACGATAATTTAATAGAAAAATTGTGGGATGAATTAACATTATCACTGAATGCTATAGGTTCTGGTCCACACAAATGGAAAAAAGTAAGTTATTTTAATTATTTCTACATCTCTTTAAAAGACGTTAAACTGATATGAAACATTAATAATAAATAATTGTACATAATTTTATTTTTTAGACCTTTACTGATTGGAAGTGCCACACAAAAAAAAGGCAAGGGAATGTTTAAAATCAGAACAGAAGACTGGTGGAGGCGAAGCGGATATAAAAAAATTAACTCCAACTGAAGAAAAATTAATGTCAATGTTGTCATGGATAGCAGTAAGAGGTGCAGACGTAAATGAAGTAGGTTTCGAAGATGAAGATAAGGGTGACACTGTTACATAAGTAAATAATATAAATGTTGATGAACCTACACCAAATATCCAAAAACCATTTTGTCGTATTCCACCCTTCGAGCGAGCTTCAGGATTTCAGAACACCCCGTATATTCATAGAAGTCATAATCTTGTACCTACGGATATGCTGGAGACCGCTGAATTGAAAAGGAGGCGAAACAATCATATTCACCTACCTTTCCAATTCAAACCAAAAACCCGCCACGGTTGTGAAATCAATCGCCGTCGGCCGGGCAAAATGAAAAAGCCTCTATAGGAGTCTTGAGACATCGATCCTCACGGCGATAGCGCTCCCAGAGCGTAAAAGACCAATTTCACCGACCTTTCCAGTGTCACCCGCATCGCGACCGATCTCGCCTGGGTCTGCCATCCCGGCGCGCAGTGACCACTGCCGCTGCTCTCGCAACCTGCAGTCGAACCCCGGGACGCTTCACGATGACATTTGGANAGGACAAAAACAAACAGCACAAATTTTGGAAAAATTATTGGAAATAAAAATACCGAATTCAGAAAGTGAGAAGTTTCACCAAAAAGAGCTGGAACTAAAGGAAGTAGAATTAAAAATTCGACTGCTGGAAGCTAAAAATAAAACAAGAGAACTTGACTTAATGGAGAGGGAATTGAAAATCCAAGAAAAAAAAATTAGGTATCACTCCTGATAACACATGATTTTTGTTTTAAACAATTTGTATTAATAATATTAATTAAAATAATTTCTTATCAATTGGTTTCTTATTCCACGACCTGCAGCAAGTAAATTCCCATTTCGTAGCTCTGAAACAAATTATAGCAAGTAATAAAATCATAAATATTTTTAATTAGTAGGTAATTCTTACCATAATTTTCTTCAATATTTTCCTGACCTACATTCAAATCTAAATAATTATCTTCCACTTCTATATTATGCGATGTAAGAATGTTATGTAATACACTGCAGGAATATATTATTTGTGCTCCTCTAATGGGACTGTAGTGGGGAACACGATGTTTTAGGAGACAGCGAAAGCGCATTTTTAAAACTCCATTACAGCGCTCGACAGTATTTCTCACACGTATATGTGCAGCTGTATATCGACCTTCTGGGGTATTTTCTTGTGCTCCTTCGATTGGTGTTAACAACCATGGTTGTAAAGGGTAGCCAGAATCACCTACAAATAGATTTATAATTATTGTCACGTTACTTAAAACATATTAAATAGGAAAAGACATACCTAAAAACCAAAAGCCACGTTCATTATTATTATACTTCTCTTCCATGCGAGTATATGCATTTGACACAGGGCCGCGCCGACTATGTGGCGAATGTGTGCAAAACACAGACGGCCAAGTCAAGGGGCGGCAAAACAGCTAGACCAGACACTTGACTAACCGTCTCTCTCTTCTCTAACGCCACCGCTGCTCGAAGTGATGATCTTTTTATGACACCGACGCCGACGGCCGACGGCACGTGTTGCTTTGTCGGTACTTGATTCTATTTAGCGGCAGCGGCTAGATACAAAGGGTAAAAAACTCGGAAACCGTACAAAAGTGAAAATGAATATAAATTTGTGTTGATTTTGCAGAAAGGGTCATTTCAATTTATTATTTAAACAAGAAACAGTTTCTGTATATTTTCATATTTTCAATTAAATTAGTAGCGTAGTGGAGATTTAAAAGTTTGTGAATTCATTTAATTGTAAAAATGGTAAGTAACTATCAAAGTATTAATACAACCCTGTGACAACACTAATATGATTAATTACCTAATTATCACCTTTGATTTGAATATGAAATTTTCTGTTTAAGGACAGAAAAAGAAAACGACTATCAGGTTACCAATATCACCAACAAAGACAGCAGAAAATGGAAGCGAAGGAAAAATTAGCCGATTCTTTGAAAAAATATTTGAAGCCGTCAGAAAAACAAACAGTGGTTTTCCTGAGCTTGAGAATACCGGCAATGATGCTCGCCCTAGTTGCTCTTCAAATACCTCGTTTGTTTCTGATAGTGATACAAATGTTACCCAGGAACATAATATTGAAAATCTTGCCTTCGCATCAGCATCAGATGTAGATGTACCAATTTCCAATTCTATCGTAATATCTGATGATCCTGGAGAACGGCCTGAAATAATTACATCTACAGATGCAAGATTTTTAACGGAAAAAGGACCCCGTCAAGTAACGAACTGGATAGCTATTTTTATCGGAACCTCACCAATGGAGAGAAAGTTAAAAGAGAGTGGCTTATGTACTCTATATCAAGAGATTCGGTTTACTGTTTCTGCTGTAAACTTTTTGGTAAGTCTTTAACTAGCTTGTCTAGTAGAGAAGGGTGTTCTGACTGGAAACATTTGTCACTAGTACTAAGCAGACACGAAAAGAGTAACTCTTATAAAAACAATATCGGATCTTGGTTAAATTTGTCAACTATGGTATCTAAGGGAGTTGCTATGAATCAGAGTCAATTACGTTTATTGGATGTAGAAAAAAAATACTGGTATCGTATACTTGAAAGAATAATTTCAGCAAAACAGTTTTTATGTCGCCAATGTCTAGGTTTACGTGGTTCATCTAGCAAATTGTATGAAAATAATAATGGAAATTTCTTAAAATTAATAGAAACGTTCTCAAAATTTGATTCTGTAATGGAGGAGCATGTTCGTCGCACACATAAAAATCAAAGCAATGATATCGTAACGAGAAACTATTTAGGTGATAAAATTCAAAATGAATTGATCGATTTAATCGGTTTAAAAAATAAAAATACTATTTTAGATCTAGTAAGAAAATATAAATATTATTCTATAATTCTCGACTGTACACCAGATGTGAGTCATATGGAGCAATTAAGTGTAATTTTGAGGTTTGTTGTATTAAATGAGTTAACGAAAAGAATAGAAATACGTGAACATTTCATTCAGTTTTGTCCTATTACTGATTCTACTGGTGCTGGTTTATGTAACTATGTGACAGATTTGTTGCTAAAACTGAATTTAAATATACACGATTTGCGCGGTCAAGGATACGATAATGGCGCAATATCTGAAACGCTCTCATTTCCTTTCGAATACATCCACATTGACACGTTCATTACCCCTCCTGGGAGCTGTATGACCTTGTCGTTGGTGGAGGGGCTTAAGTAGCTACGGTGAACCCAAGAGCTAAACCGGCGGGAGTTCCATACTCCTGGCAGGGTCACCCAAGCCGGAAAGGTCGAGGGAGAGTAGTGAAAACTAAGAAACAGCTCAGCTACCCAAGCCAAGGTGGAAACGCATCGTGCCGAGGGCTGAATGGTGCGGGGGTAGGTAAAAATGTCGCATCGTAAACGATCTCTTTGGGGAACCAGGCGCACCCCCATCGTATTTAGCCTTCCGTCAGGCATGGGGCACTACCTGGCGGTGACTTTTATTTCCTCCAGACTCGTGGGACCTTTATGGACCATAAATCAAAAAAACGGGAACCCGAAAGGGGGCCGTCAACATCCGCCGGGGAAGCAGTAATTGCTGACCAGGCGGAAAATAAAACAGCCACTGGGAAGCAAACACCAGTGACTACTATCTCTAGGGGAGTCGACAGACTGAACCTGGAAGGTAGGAAGAAATTGTCTGGTGCGCAAAAGCGCAAACTTAAAAAACTGCGGAAGGCAGAGGCGGGAAAAGGACAGGGGCCGGTGACGGAACCTGGCTCAAGTACCACTCTAACTCCGCAGGCTGCTGAACCGGGGCCAAGTGGACTCGGGAAGAAACGTGGACGGTCGGACGGTAGTGAGCCGATTTCCGACCGGCCTGTTTCCAAGAGGCCTAAGGCCACGGGACAGCGTGGCAAGACTTACGGGGAGGCGCTGTCGGGGATCCAAGCAGTGGTGGTCCCCCATGGATACCCGGAGGTCCGAATGGATGAGGACCAGATGGGACTTGTCCAGTCGGCGCTTCTGGGGGCCATTGATGGGATCGCGGGCGAGGGTACACGACCGCGCTTCCTGGAGTGTCGTCGAAGGGGGGGAACGCTAGCGATCACCGCCTTCAACGAGGAGAGCCTGCAATGGCTGAAGANGAAACTTCTCTGCATATCCTGGGCGAGTGCCCGGGATTTGCACGTAGCAGAATGGCGCTCCTTGGGAGACCCTATTTGGAACCCAAGGAGCTGAGAGAAGTGTCAGCAAGGAAGCTTTTGGACTTTGTAAAAAGGACAAATCTACTTGCTGAATAGGACTAGTAGTGGGACGCACAATAGGCCTAATTAGGCCGCAGTGCTATGGGACTTTTAAAGGACCAACCACTAGATGAAGAAGAAGAAGAAGACACGTTCATTATAGACAAAAACCATTTCTTGACAATACTTGACCCTTTTTCAAAATATGGACAAGCATATTGCCTAGAAGCAAAAAATAGCATTAATATCATGGAAGCCTTACTATTATTCATATCTCACATGGGTATACCACACATAATCACCGCAGATAATGGTACTGAATTTAATAACCAAATCATAAAAGACTTTTGCCTTCTACACAATGTAGAACTACACTTCACTACCCCTTACCATTCAAATTCCAATTCTCCTGTTGAAAGTTTTCATTCAAGCCTGATAGACTCTATAAGATGTCTTAAACAAGAACATCAGAAATCAATTAAGTACCTCATGACCCTAGCTGTCTTACTAAATAATAATTCAATTCACTCCACAATCAAGATGACACCATTCGAAGTAATCCATGGCCCAAAAACTAACCCATTTGATATTTTCCCACAAACTATCATCAATCAATATACTCATAATCATCGAAAAAATTTACAACTCTTACATAACCAAGTTAAAGAAAGAATTCAAAACAACAAAACAAAAGTTATCGAAAATAAAAACCAACATTTATCAGAACCTGAACCAATACAAACAGATCAAATTGTTTATATTCAAACAGAACCAAGGAAACCTAAAGATCACCCAAAATTCAAAGAAACAATCGCTTTAGAGGATAGAGACAATAAAATCTTAACTGAAATTGGTATTGTACATAAAAATAAGGTGCGTAAGCCGCGAAAAATAATAGGGAAATCTTTGTTACAGGATGACAATGAATCCCTATCTAACAATCCTGTGCCTAACGATCCTAGCAGTAGTCCAGTCCGAAGATATAACCTTCGATCCCATCGATAGTGTAGCACTATTTCAGAAATTAGGTAAACGAGTACACATCATTGAACGATATCACATGTTTATACACAAATTAGACCTTCATCCTTTATATGAAGCATTTCAGCTTTTAATTGATCAAAATAATCTAAGAAACCAATCTCAAGGGATTTTAGATTCACTTTTACATCAAGAAGAAAATCTAAAAGTAATTGTTTATCAAGAATTTGGAAAATTTAGACCCATCAAACGCCAAAAACGAGGACTCTAATATCATAGGAGACATTAATAAACAACTTTTCGGAACAGCGACCGAAAAAGATCTCGAAAAGTTCGACTCAAAATTAAATACATTACTAGAAAACGAAAAGGCAATAGCGACCGAAGTCAACCTTAGAACTTCATTATTGTCATCATTCATTAATAAAACTACAAAAATAATCTACCAAATCAACGAAAATAATAGAAAGTTAGAAGACAACGTCAAATACTTTTCAGATTCCTTGAATATCAATTTCCAAAGACAAATTATCATAAACCAATTAGAACTCATACTATATTATGTTCAACAGATTGAAATTATGATTTCACTTCTTCAACGGAATCAGATCAGCTTCTTTTTGTTGACCCCGCGGGAAATTGATGACATGGTCACTCACCTCAGAACATTATATCCTCAAAGTGAAATTCCTCGCTTTGGAAACATACAGTCATACTATGATTATTTCCAAACAAAATTATATTTAAAAGACTTTTGTTACTACATTTCGATTCTAGTACCAATATTATCACAGAAAACATAACTTGAACTTTATCATGTAACCCCTATACCAACTAAAAACATTACCCTCCTAGATATCCCAAAATACCTTGTTATTGACTCACATGACAATTATCAATATCTGAATGATCAACCAAACACCATTGAAGATACATATTATTCTTCCGAAGTCAAATTGGTAGCCCATCCTAACTGTCTGGTCGACATACTCCTCCAAAGAAAAAGACCTAGAAATTGTCAAACATCCCAAGTTTTCTACAAAACACCCTATGTCCTACAACTCAAATCTTCAGACTATTTACTAATTACATTAAAGTTAGTAACACTACAATACAGTTGTCGACATGGAGTCACAAATACCAAAATAACTACGAAAAATACCAAAATCACAATGATCCCAGGCTGTCAATTCTCCATAGACGACCTTGTGTACGAATACGAAGACCCACTTGTGACCAGCACCACTTATTTGTTACCAAACATAAATTTAACAACATATCCTATGGCATCGCTACAGAATATATCCCTCGATGACCTCTACCAAGGAAAAAATTTTTTCAAGAATATCGTACGTGTAAAAGATTTTAAAGAAATCCCATGACATATCAACTATACCTGGATTATACTCATTCTTATATGTTTGATCCTAACTTATTTTTACTTCAAGCAGACCAAACCCAAAACAGGTCTAGCCGTCATCTTCAACAAAGCCAATGAACAAGTCAAGATTAAGCCCAAAGTGGATAAGGCAGTTGATGCTCTTGTGGACCCCCAACTTCCTTTTTAAGATGGGAGGAGTTAGACACCCAATATCAAGACCGGATCTTCTTTAATTTTTATATCTCATTGACCTTTATGCATAATACATTGTTATGTACGCTTTCCCTATCTATTGACGTCAATGTAAATGATAAGAAAATCCCTATATAAACTCATGCGAGATCTCTCATCATCAGTGTAGTAGTAGTAGTTACATCTTGTACTAACCATCTAGTAATCAATAAAAGTGTTTGAACAAATAAATGTGTTAAAGTCTTCCAAGTCACGAATTGCAACTTTAACTCCCCTGAAGAGATAAGGGCCATCAAAGTTTCCATAAAAATTATGAAAATTAGCTGTAATTTGAAAACCGAACCAGGTACAAATAACAAATTTTTTACAGGTTGTTTACTAATACAGATGCGAGTTTTCAACTATTTTAACCCCTCGAAAGGGGTTGAAATAACCACCCCTCAAGCCATTTTTTGCCATAACTTTTATATTTCGTAAAAAAGGAGAGGTTTGATTTCGCACAACCGCCTGACTCATCCTAACTAATAAAAAATCTCTGCGAGAAGTTTTCTGTTTGGACTTTAGCCAGAGCCGGATCCAGGTGTCAGCCGCTCGA